GAGAGGTAAAAATGCATGGAAGGTGAAGAGTTAATGCTCCCAAAGCAGATCTCGACTGGTGCCGGATGGGCAGTTGGTGGATAAGCTTCAGCTTTCTCACCCCCAGCTGGGATAACTCAGACCTCCCAGAGGGCTCCCTGAGCTCTGGGCTTCAGTCGCCCACAGTGGTAACCTGCTTGATAACACATGCTTTATTGGTATCTTTTCCCTCACTACCTCGCTTCCTCACTAGCGCACAGGTGTTTTCTGGAATCTTCTCCCAAGTAAATTACATGCCCTTGGATCCTGGCCAATTCTACCAGGAACGTCCAGTGTTTTCCCACCAACTTACTTCTCTATACCCATTCTCGTTTCCCGGAGAGAGGACTCACCCCTCTTGCTCTGCCTGTCCAAACTGTCACAGGCAGAGTTGCACTTGGCTACCGTCTGGGCCTGAGATTTCTCCTTCCTCCGAAATCGGGATACTTTTCTTTATTCCACTCAGTCGGCAGTTAATCGGACACAGTGCACTCTTTCCAGCTGTGTGGCTGTAGAAGAGCTGGAATCAGACAACACACCTGGCCTGGAACCTGACTCCACTGCTCACTGTGCAACCTGGGGCAAGTCACCCAGCTTCTCTGACCTTCAGTTTCCTCATCTGTGAAAGGTAATAATCCCTGCTCCATCCGGTTGTCCTCTGGATTTAATGAGCTAAATGTGTAAAGAAACAAGATATTACCTAATACAAAAAGATACTTGAGAAAAGATATTTTTATTCTATTATTTTCTTTAATTTTTTGTGTGTCTCCATCTTGTTTTCCAACCTACATTGCAGTTTCTCTGCCATATTCACCTTCTTTATCACACTGCCTTGTACGTGACAGGCAACTAAATAATTATCCATTCTCGGTTTTCTACAGCTTTAAATCAGATCATGCACTCTTTCCATTCAAGATTGATTTTTGGATTATTTGTTATGTGCAAGGCATTCTCAAGGAATTTTTAGCAGGTTACTTGGCTTTTCTGGGCTTCTGTGTTCTCATATGCAAAATACATAAATGTTTTGGTCTATAATTCTAGATGCACTGAGGTCCTTCTGGCATTACAAACATTAAAGTTTGGAACCTATGTATTCCGAGAGGGCCAGGAGGGCACGCGACTGTCCTTTCTCACTCCCCACTGGAACCAGTGGTGGCTACAGGGTAAGTGACTTTCAGTGCATGTGGAATAGATGCCAGATGCCTCCTGGGTCCTGTCCCCCACTGGCCTTACCTCCTACCTCTCTCCCGGGCTCTCACTCCACACCAGCAGACTCTTTTTCCCTTTGTGCCCCTAGAATTTTCGGTGCTTGCTCTGCCTTGGCCTTTGCACTTGCTGCTTCTCATTCTTCACTTCTCCACTGAAATGTCTCATCCACAGAGGTCCCTCCCCCCAACCCCAGCCTCTCTAGCCCACGACCCTGCTTTGTTTTCTCATTCTTATAATCGCTCTTGGAAATTGTCTTACTACTTGGTCATTTATTTGCTTATTGTTTGTTCCCTCCACCTCTCCTCCAGCCCTTAAATATAAACTTCTATCTCAGGTCATTTCATATCCCTGCTGCTAAAACAGTACTCAGCATGATCTAGGATCCAAAGGAAATAATTGTGAAATGAATGAGTTCTACCATATGTTATACAGTAGGATTTGCAGTCGTCCTTTAGTATATGCATAAACCCAAATCTGCACATATTCAAGTCCCTCAATCAGCCCCATGGAACCCGTGTATACGAAAAGTCAGCCATGGCCTTCCCTACACAGGGTCTTCACATCCTGGGAATACTGTATTTTTGATCTGCCTTTGGTTGGAAAAAATTCCCATGTAAGTGTACCCACACAGTTCAAACCTGTGTTGTCCAAGGGCCAACTGTATTTGGTGAGCTAAAATCCGTAGCTATCACACTAGGTTCTAGTAAACTCCCTTAAGCATAAGTCATCATATAAGTGAACCCATTGCCAGAGGTCTCAGTATACATGGAGTGAGAAGAAACAAGTATTAATAGTACCTAGGAAGACAGCTATAAACAATTATATCACCTTATTTAGAAATCCTATCAACATATCTTATTTGCTGTGGAAAATTTAGACTACATTTTAAAATAAATAATTCACTTTCTTTTTTATGGAAAATTTCAAACACAAACGCAAATAGTTGTAGTTGATAGGAATAGCATAGTGGACCCTCTTGTACACTGTGGGAGACAGGCTGTAGGGTGGGCCCCTCACCCTAGTGTTCACACCCTTGCATAATACCCTTGAGTGTGTGCAACCTGTCACTTGCTTTCTGGCCAATAGAATGTATGCATTTGATGTTGTCCCTGTGTGATCACTTTATGTTACATAAGATTCTGTCTTGCTAGCAGACTTGCTCTGGGGACTCTCCTTGCTGGCTTGATGAAGTAAGTGGCCATGCTGGGAAAGCCCAGGTGACAATGAAGTCCAGGTGACCTCTAGGAATTGCAGGCACCCTCTTGGAGCCAAGGACAGTTTCCAGTCGACAGCCAGTAAGAAGCCAGGGCCTTCAGTCCTACAGCTGCAAGGAGATGCATTCTGCCAGTGACTGCATGAGAGCAGAAGCCAGTTCTCCAGTTGATGAGAATGCAGCCTGGCCAACACCTTGATAGCAGGTGTGAGGGCCTAAGGACTCAGCGTGCCTGGACCCCTGACCCACAGAAACTGTGAGGAAAATCTGTATTGCTTTAAAGCCACTATATTTGTGGTAATTTGCAGCAATAGATAATCAAATACAGATACATCACCCAGCATCAACAATTTTCAACAGTTTCCAATATTGTTTCATCTATACCCCCCATGTCTTGCAGGGTGGGGGGAATGGATGGGCCGGAGTGCTTTAAAGCACATTTCTGACTCTGTATCATTTCACTTGCAGATACTTTAGCTTGCCTCTGTATCAGGTAAGGACTTTAAAAAAGCATAACCATGATGACAGAAAAATTTGGTCTTAACTGAGAACAAGAGTGGGAGTCTTTTTTTAAGCCATGAAGTCAATGGATCTAGCGTATTATTATAATTGGGTACCTACAGAAAAGGTGCTTGTAATAATAATAATAGAATAAGAATAATATCCCATGATCCCATTAGCTAAAGCACAGAAGAGCATATGAGCGCATTCTCTTGAAATGGCTGAGGCTTGCCAGTTGGTTTCTAAAAAATAGTCCAGCCACAAAGTACTTAATTGTCCATGTTATGTGACTGTCTCTCAAACAATACCTAAAATAATTCAAACCCAATTCTGATCTTGTGTTTGAGATCCATTCCCCCAACGCCCAACCTGCTTTTGAATGAACCCCTGTAATTCCATTTTTATCCATAACTCCTTATAATTTCGTGTCACATGCTAATTGCCACTCCCACCACTTTCCCCTTCCTCCCCTTCCCCTTCCCACAGGAAGCCCTTCTCCACCGGCCTTCCTGGATAAGCCAATCTCATGTCCCCTTGACAATGCTCACCAAGGCATGGGACATACTCGGGACTCATGGGTTCAATGCCATTTCTACCACTGGGGAGCTGTGTGACGTTTGGCCAGTAGTTAAGCTTTCTCTAAGCTGGATACAATAGTGGCTCGCAGAGTCGTGAAGATTAGACAATGTGTCATGTGCAGAGTGACCAGCACAGAACAGGCACCGTCTCCCTCCACCCGCTTTGTCAGTTCCCATCACCAGCCACCAAGCCCCAGAACGCCCAGCACCGCGCCTCTCCCGCCCTCGTCGCGGGGGATGCAGGGACTTGTAGTTTTTAGGCCCCCAAGTCGTGTTTCCTCTCGGAGCCAGACGGCGAGAGGAAGAACTACACATCCCAGTGGGCCGTGAAGGGAAAGTGGGGCTCGGAAAACCGAGCGTCCCCGCCCCGCTGCCCTCGCTGTGCGCGACTCTCGGGCTGTGGCCACCCTGCGAGGGCGCAGACCCCGCGGCGGCGCCCGGGCGATCCGCTGGGGCTGTCGGGCGCGGGCGCAGGGGGCGCGCGGTCCCTCTGCTGCCGAGGGGGCTCTGCGGGGGAAAGGAGGGAGAAATAAAAGCAGCTGATTGTGAGCGTCCGTGAGAAGTGGAAACCGAAGGGACCTGGGAGGCAGCAACCCAAACAGAGCCTGGCCACCAAGGGGCTTTTCCTCCGGGAGCGAAGCCGGGGCCGGAGGGACCCTACAGCTCCGCTCCCCGCTTCGCTCCCGGCCCCGAAGCCGGTCGAGCCGGGCCCGAGACCCTCGCCCGCAGCCCGGTCCCGGAGTCAGGCCTGCCTCGCCGTCCCTGCCCACCCTGTCTCCCAGCACCCCCAGCCCATCCCTCGGGGCCAGTAGAGTCCCCTGGAGACCGACCAGCGCCCGCTGGCGAGGAGGAGAAGAGCCGGGGCAGCCAGAGAGGGCCCCCTCTCCGCGCCGTGGCTCCTCGGGTCCCGGGGAGTGGCGAGCTGGGTTTGCCGGTTGCCATGTGAATGTGCGTGTCTCCCGCCGGCAGCTGCGGCCGCGACTAACGCGGCGGCGAAGTCGGGAGCGGACAGAAGTCCGCGGAGGGCGCACTGCGCGCCGCGCCGCCCGGCCCGACCCCGCCTCGCGCGATGCCATAGGAGCCCCGGCGCCTTCCCCGAGGCGCGCCAGGCCCGTCCGGCCCGGGGGGACTGGGACTGGGACCCTGCAGTGCCCCGGCTTCGCCGGCGAGGAGGAGGAGCAGGAGGAGGAGCCCGGCTGGCGAGGCGCGGGCGCCACCGCCCACCCGGCCGGGGGAGGCGGACCCGCTCGGAGCGCGGCGCGCGCGCGGGGGCCGAGCCTTGCAAACAAGTGTCTGTGGCGGTGTCCCCGCGGCCCCCGGCGGCCCTGCTCGCTGCTCGCGCCAGGGCTGGCTGCTCGCGCCAGGGCTGGCTCCTCCGGGCAGACGGAAGCGAGGGACCCCTCGCCGCGCAGCCCGCGAGCCGCCGCCGCCACCCTCGGCCCGGGCGCCCCGGCAGCCCCGCGCGGGGGCCGCGACGCGGCTCGGCTGCCAGGCGAGCCGACGCGGGGTCGCGGAGCGAGCAGCGCCCGGGCTCTCGCCGAGCCGCTCCTGACAGAATAACGTGCGTGGTTGTCCCCACCCCTGGGAGGGGTTGCCGGTGCCGCGAGCTGCCGCCCAGTTTCCAGCGCGCTCTCCTGGGAGGATCCGCCACCGGAGGAAGGAGTAGAATAAACCTGGCCGAGGCGCAGAAGTGGCTCCCCGGGAAGCCAGCGCCGGGGCCGCCGCCTCGTGTCCCCTCGGGGCGCAGCGCTCGGGGGTCGGCGGGCCGGAGCCGAGGCGCGGCCGGGGGCCCGGGGGCGGCGGGGCCGAGCGCGCGGCGACCCAGGGGCCGGCCGGGCGGACCCCCGCGCCCCGGGACGCGGGCTGGAAGCGACGGAGGACAGCTGCCGGGGGCTGCGGGCGAGCACCGTCCCTCTCGAACGGGGGTTCTGCTATGACAGTTGGCCTCCGCAAGGGGTTAACCTGGGTGTCCTCGGCAAAGTTGTCGCCGAGCCGGGAGCCCGTTTAGGGGCCGCGGCGCCGCGGCTCGGGGGGCTGCCGGGCGGCGGGCGGCGGCCGTGGCTCGGCGGGGCCCGCGCGGCCGGGGGGCTCCTGGGGGTGTGCGCCCCCAGCCGGCTGCCCTCGTGGATGCCTCCCGGCGGCGGCGGGCCCATGAAAGACTGCGAGTACAGCCAGATCAGCACCCACAGCTCCTCCCCCATGGAGTCGCCCCACAAGAAGAAGAAAATCGCGGCCCGGAGGAAATGGGAGGTGTTCCCGGGACGAAACAAGTTCTTCTGCAACGGGAGGATCATGATGGCCCGGCAGACGGGCGTCTTCTACCTGACGCTCATCCTCATCCTGGTCACCAGCGGGCTCTTCTTCGCCTTCGAGTAAGTGGCCGCGCCGGCCCCGACGCCGCGCTCGCCTCGCCTCCCCTGCCCCTCCTCCGGCTACTTTCATTTTCTGGAAGCCGGCCCCACTGTGCGTTGTTATATAATACCAGCCCGCTCTCCCTCTTTTTCTTTTAAGGGTCTGTTTGCTTTTAAGTCACTAGAGATAACGCAGTTCTGGGCTGGGCTCCTCAGAGTGGAGAGGGAGGTGGGGACACCTGTAAGGTGTGCCGGCCTTGCTGCTCCAAGGTGGGACCTAGCAGGTGGTGCCGCCGGTGGCTGGTCCTTGTCGCTCTCTCTACAGAGTTTGGGGAACCAGCAAATCAGCCCAGCGGTAGCCTACCATGGGAAGGCGGGGTGGGGTAGGTTTCTAAGTCAGGGATAGATGGAATTGACTTGGTTATTATTATTATTTTTTTCTGACAAGGTTTAGGGCATCTTCTTAAGCTCACTCGACCAGACCTTCTGTGTAACTTTGAGTAATGCTGGGAAATCTTGGCTATTTTAGGTTTAAAAGTGTCAGCTACCCAATGTGCCCTGGGTGGATAATTTCATTTTTTAACTCTCCTTACATGTTCCATCTTGATTAACAACTTCTTATTTACCTTGAGGTTTCTGAACTCTTCAAAAAGGTTTCAGTAAAAAATGTCCAAAACAAACAATTTGGGAACATGTGAAAGGAGACCTTAGGCCTTTACAGAAAAGGATGACACTACATGGCAATTTCTGATTCCAGAAACAATACTTTTGGACTTTAGGGATTGTATCTGGGGAAAAAAGTGCGTGGGAGTCTTCACCGTTTTCAGGAAAATCAAATTGGCCAGTAGCAACTGTCCTCCTGCCAACTAATGGAAGGGCTTCTTATTTATTAATAGTCATTAGATAAAGCTATTTAACCACATTCCAAATCCGTTTCCATTGCTCTTACTGGGTCCAGCATTTGGAATGCAACTCTTTATGTAATTCCCAGTATCCTATGCTCAATGAAAGTTGTTACTTATCCCCTCAGCCCTCCCAATTAAAAGAAAGCAATGTATTTTTAGGGAGTTTTTTGAGCTTCCCATATCCTGGTTATTATGGGGTGTGATACTCCTTCAGTCTCCACCTGCTTCTGTGGGTAGGCTTTATTTAAACCTTTTGTGTTGATTTACTTTAGTTTCTGATAACAAAAGCAAATCTTTCTGATTAGTATTAATAGGCCCTGATTTTGTGCCTGGCCTTTTGCTCTTTGAAATTCTCTCAACTGGGAATGAATGATCTCTTGACAATGTAATACTTTTACTCAGAGCCCTCTGACTCTTGGAGGGGAAACATTTCTAAGGCTGTGCTATGATGAACAATTTTAACAGGACTGAGAAAGGCTGGGAGAAAGATCTCAGATTTAAGCTAATCCCCTCTAGTCTTTCTCAAACACAACTCTCCCCCATTCTGACTGTGCATGAATTTCTCCTGTGTCTCCTGGAAGTTTAGCTTTTGTGCATGTTTTGAGACTTGTTGGTGGAGTCTGTTGGCACACCTGGGGATGGGAGAGGAAGAGTGTTAACAGGTGTTCAGAAAGGCAAGGAAGCATGCTCTGTCATGAAATTGTGGCTCCCGTCGGTCCCTATCTAGCACCAGGCTCTTGTCCTTATAGACCCGTGGAAACTGGAGGGTGGGGCACAGAGGTTCCAGGTCCATTTGCATTCTAAGTCAGCATAAACTCCAGCGAGGAGGGTGCCATGTGGTTTAACAGAAATGCCATCTCTCTAATGGTGGCTTTAGTTACAAGTGGTCCTCTAGTGGGAGAGTATTCACTATGTTCCTAATGTTAAAAAAAGTTAGGAACAGATTCACATTGGCATTTTGGCTCTTTTTAGTGATATTGAGAGTGGAAAAAAAATTTTGGTTAGTTTTGTGATTCTGTTGCAGAGCTTCAGCCACAAGTGTGTTTCATGTAGGATGATGAATATTTCATTTTCTATATATACCCAAATCCCCACTGTATGATTAGGGATCCCCCGGTTATTACTTAGCCTCTTTTATTTTCTTCATTCAAACGTAGCTTTTAACCAAACCATCATAAATTCATTTTCATTTCTTGATCTCTGTGTGTGTTTTTCCAAGAGTTCCCCAAAGCCCTCACTAGCACGTTGTTAGGGATCTTTTTCTGCGTCAGTGCTGCGTTAATTGATGATGGTAGAAAGAAACGTGTGCGCTGGGATTTTATTAGCTGCTATTTGCAGCATCATTTTTGTATCAGCTCTGCAGGAGTGTGTGTGTGTGTGTGTGATGGTAGAAAGAAACGTGTGCGCTGGGATTTTATTAGCTGCTATTTGCAGCATCGTTTTTGTATCAGCACTGCAGGAGTGTGTGTGCGTGTGTGCGTGTGTGTGTGTGTGTGTGTGTGTGTGTGTGCGTGTGCTTGGTTTCCATGGGTGTTGCATCAACTAGGCAATTTGAAATTTCAAGAAAATAAGAGGCCCATCTTAGCATATTGCCTCAGTTGAGAAAAATTAGAAAGCTGTTCAACCTATAAATATTACGGTACGGCTAAGAGTGTCACTGCATCGGTTTTAAGTTCTTTATTCATCACCGACAGAGTGAAATTAAATAATTGACCAAATTAATTTGCTAGAGACTCAAAGAACTAATTAGCCCCGTGCATGGGAAATGAAACATCAACAGGCTAATCACTAAGTGAGATCCAGAGGAAATGTGGGCTTTGTCTGCCCCTGCCTGCCCTGCTTGTGGCCTTCCTTTAGTTACTTACTGAGCGCATACCCTGGCGTTCCCTATTTTGATTGTTTAATTTCAAGTCCAGATAGCTTTTAATGTTAGTAGAATTAATTCATTGTCCAACATTAGAATCCATGTTTCCCCATAGAGTTACACAAGAGCAAATAAAAAATGGGAAAAGAAATACATATAACTTCTACATTTAGCTTTAGTCCTCCTTTGTCTGCAACTCTTCTCTCACCCCACCATCCCCCTGCCTGCTCCTGATCTTGAACAGATGGACAGGGAAGTTTTCCATGAGAAATGAACTTAATTAGAACTCAGCAACAGGTGTTGATGCTGTCTTAACCCCTGGAGAAAGGCAGGGTAGACGTTATGATTCTTGTATTGAAGACAAAGTGACAGAACCTTCGTGAGGTTAAATGGTCACCTAAGGACACACAGCTAATTAGTGGGAAGGGTCTGACTGCAAAGCCCCTGCTCCTTCTGATGCATCATGCTGCTCCCCCTCCAAGTATAGAATACCGGTTAAAGGCATGGATTTTGGAAGGACGGACCGCAAGATTCTTACTAGCACTATGACCTTGGGCAAATGATTTGTCTTTTTTAAGCCTTGGTTTCTCATTGTGTAAAATGAGGTTAATGATATCTACCTTTAAATGTTGTAAAGAGTAAATGGAAAAAGCGTACTTAGTACAGTGTCCTGTACATAGCAGGGGCTCAATGAATGGCACATGCCATTAGAGTAAACCTTAGAAGTAGTCCCCCAAGGGCCCTGGTCACTTTCTTAGAGCATTTTGAGAAAGACAGTATGTAGGTTAATAAGCAGGTGTGACCATGAAAGCACATTAGAGCTGAAAAAGTGCGCAGTTGTGCCGTCTGCCATTGAAATAAAGACCTTTATGAGTTGGAGGAGCCTGAGTGAAGCTGTGACCTTGCCCCTCCAGAATGGGACCCCGCAGGGATGCCTGGGGACCCAGCCTTGTCCAGACCCCGGATTTCATTTCCATTGTTGGAGCCACCATCCCAGAAGGGTAAAGACAGTAAAGAAAGCTGTTACAGTGCCATATGCAACCCTGTCCCGTTTTCCAAGGAGGGAGGGGCTGCTGATCTGCCGGCATCTCACGCGGCGTGTGGAGGACTGATGGAAAGTGACAGCGTTTCGGGGCTGTACTTGAGCAGGGAGCAGAGCTGATTGCAGTGCTGTCGAGACATCTCGCTGCTCCTTGCAGTTATTAAGAGTCTCATCAAAGACTCTCTATGCAATGTCGTCATCCTCACATCCCCAGAAGTGGAATTTCAAAAGATCAGTGAACATGAGCAGCAGTTTCCTTCCCTTTTTCTCTCTCGCATTCACACACCTACAGCCTGCTTTTGTTTACAGTTGAAATTCTGAAAATAAAAAGTCTTGAGTCCTAAATTATTAATATTAAAATTTCAGTCTCTCGATCACAGGGGCAGAAAGAGGGGACCGCACTGGGGGGCTGGGCGAGGCTCACGGTTTCAGCAGCATCGCGTGTGGGAGGGGAGGTCTGCGCAGGGCTGGGCGGGACTGTCTCCCCGTTCTGTGCCGTCCGCAGGGACAAGTTGGGAGGTGTTTCTGGGGTTCGCATGCTTGAGAGTGTGGGAACATCCTCAAATTTCTCATCACTAGAAGTCCATTGATGATTTTTTTAAAGAAACCTATATGTTTTCTTCTTTCTCTATTTCCCTCCCTTTCTCCTTCTTTCTATTCTCTCCTCCTTCCCTACCTTTCTTCTTTTTAATTTAGCTAATGCCCTCTGAAATAAATGATGACTAAATAATTGGGAGTCAGTAGAACTTGGGCCATGTTTGCCTTGAAGATGGAACTTGGGGCTGTCTCTTGTAAAAAAAAAAAGTGCTATTTCCAATTATAATAGTGTCTCTGTCATAAATGGGATAGCTTATTTTCTAGTAGAAGGTGCTGCCCTTATAACACACGGGACCCCATCTGTTCTCAATCCTCCTGTAGGGAACTGCATTGAGGGCTCCACCATCTCAGAAAACATCTGTAAAGGGCCCATCTGTCTTTGTCCAAATGCTGGGCATGTTGTGCATCATAGAACACCATGGGGCTGCTAATAGAACATGACCGCTGGGACCTTACCACTGAATGTTCCTTGTTAACCTGTTATCACAGATGGGGCCAAGGGCATTTATAACCCGCTGTGGTTCCTCAAGAATTTTAGGTGACTTCAAAACCTTATTGATGACCTCTTGACATGAAAGCACTAACCCATTCATTTGTGAGCATGATCCACACA